ATTTTTTTTCTTGCTTTAAAGATCGTTAGAACATTAACATACTTATTATTATTAAATTTTCTCCAGAATGTATATCAAACATGTTTGATGTATTTAGTTTGTATGAAAATATGGAAGAACAGCCTTTGTCAATCAGTAAATCTTAGCAAGAAATTTTACCTAATTTTTTATTATAAACTACTTCTAATTACAAAGCATAAAAAAGAACTATAATTGTCTATAATAGAAAAATGCTTAAATGCGGCATATTTTCCTTATTGTACTTTGTAATTTAACCACTTAATATTCTTCAGCCTCCTCTTCTTCACCTTCAAGAGAATCAGTTCCCACCTCCTCGTAATCCTTCTCCAAGGCAGCCAAATCTTCACGTGCTTCAGAGAATTCACCTTCTTCCATACCTTCACCGACGTACCAATGAACGAATGCACGTTTGGCGTACATCAAATCAAATTTATGGTCAAGACGTGCCCAAGCTTCAGCGATGGCAGTTGTATTTGACAACATGCAAACGGCACGTTGAACTTTAGCAAGATCACCACCAGGAACGACGGTTGGAGGTTGATAATTAATACCAACTTTGAAACCAGTAGGACACCAATCGACAAATTGGATGGTGCGTTTAGTCTTGATGGTAGCAATGGCGGCGTTGACATCTTTAGGGACGACATCACCACGATATAACAAACAACAAGCCATATATTTGCCGTGACGAGGATCACACTTAACCATTTGGTTGTTTGGTTCAAAGCAAGAGTAGGTGATTTCAGCAACGGTAAGTTGTTCATGATAGGCTTTTTCAGCCGAAATAACTGGAGCGTATGTAACCAACGGAAAATGGATACGAGGATATGGGACAAGATTGGTTTGGAATTCGGTCAAGTCGACGTTCAATGAACCATCAAATCGTAGAGAAGCAGTAATGGAAGATACTACTTGGGCAATCAATCTGTTCAAGTTCGTATAAGTAGGTCTTTCTATATCAAGATTACGGCGACAAATGTCATAGATGGCCTCATTGTCGACCATAAAAGCGCAATCCGAATGCTCCAACGTAGTATGAGTTGTAAGAATTGAATTATAAGGTTCTACAACAGCAGTTGAAACTTGAGGAGCAGGATAGACAGAGAATTCCAATTTAGACTTCTTTCCGTAATCTACAGAGAGACGTTCCAAGAGCAAAGCACCGAAACCAGAACCAGTACCACCTCCAAAGGAGTGGAATACCAAAAATCCTTGAAGACCAGTACAATTGTCTGCGAGTTTGCGAATACGATCGAGGACAGAATCAACAATTTCTTTTCCAATGGTATAATGACCACGGGCATAATTATTGGCAGCATCTTCTTTGCCTGTGATCAGCTGTTCTGGATGGAACAATTGACGGTAGGTACCATTACGGACTTCATCGACAACGGTAGGTTCCAAGTCGACAAACACTGTACGGGGAACATGTTTACCAGCTCCTGTTTCGGAGAAGAAGGTATTAAATGAATCATCACAGACACCAACGGATTTATCAGATGGCATTTGACCATCAGGCTAAAAAAATAATTAAGATAAGTATATTTATTAGTTTTTTATCTCGAGTATCAGACAAAAGTGTAAAAGTAAACACGCGTTATAACGCCAAAAATTTAAATATGTATTGTTTTTTTTTTTTGTTTTTGCTATCTTTTTTTTTAGAATATTTCGAAAGAGAATACTTACTTGGATGCCGTGTTCAAGACAGTAAAGTTCCCAGCAAGCGTTACCGATTTGAACACCAGCTTGACCGACGTGGATAGAGATACACTCACGCATGTTTAATAGTAAGCGTTGATACTGTTAAAAAAAATATATATATAATGTAAATGTATCGAGAAGAGGAAGCTCGATTATAGATAGATATTTTGTTTAGAAATATTTTGGGGGTTGGTTGTGCTCACTTAGGTTAGGGAAAGTAAGCTAAAAGAACCTGAGGAAAATTTTTGCGATTTGGCGTTGCTTTTAAAAGAAAATTTGAGGGACAACACAACAATACGGATCGGCAAAAGCCGGATGTCTTCCGTAATACAAAAACTGATGTGTATAAAGTTAGTGTTACAACGCCTTTGCTTATTCAAGTTTTCTTAACCATCAATTGTGACATGGCGTAAAACGATTTGCAACCGATATCAATATCAAATATAACAATATTTAATATTTTAATTGTCTTATCAAACTGCGACTTTCCCAAAACTGTTAATTTCATATTACCTGATCTGACGAGAAAAAAATTATTCGTGTCACCTTCATAAAGGGTTTACTATATCCAATGCGTCTATATCCGGAAATTGTCCAAGGCTCCATTGAAGCTACAATAAATATTTGCATCTTGCATTATTGGCTCGAAGTAAAAAAATTTTGTTAATATGCGTGGCGTTGACTATTTAGTCTTACAAACAAAACATTTATATATGTCGACAAGTTTAACAATGAGCTTTTTCAGTTTTATTCATGCATGTACCAAATCTTAATAAATCTTTGATCGTGAATTTAGTAATATCCCCGTTCATCTATGAAATTTATGGTTAACTTTGTTGATCTTGTACTTACGTGTACTTCAAATTATTTCATTTTTTTAAACGTTTGTTTGCTACATGTTTTTACAAGGTTAGTTTCCTGCTTTTTTAAAAAGCATTCTATGAATTTCTTGAATTTCCATGTTTTTTTATTACTAACATATAAGCCCTTATTAATTTTTTTTTATCTCTATCAAGACCCTTTTTTTTGATATTTTTAGAGCTTTATGGATAACAATTTTTATCCTTACCGCATGTTTGTTTACCAAAAGCACATTGTTGCATATGCAAACGCGTTTTACGTCTAGATTCCCTAAATGCACGTTTTAAACACATTTTTGAAGGGGTGCATTAAAAAAAGGAGTCAAATATGCAGATATATGGAGTTAGTTTATAAAATAAATTTTAATAAATTTTTGAATTTTTAAGTTCAAAAATAAACTTTAATACGTATTAGTGTTTACCAATCATAGATTTCTTTATACGGTATACAGCAAATTTACGTATAACTTTAGCGTAACAAAACAGTTTAATTGGTTAAATTGTTTATACAAATTAAAAAATAATAAATTTTTTTCAATAAATTTATACTATTGTAATATGTATAGTAACTACTATATATTATTTGACTTAACAAGATGAGAGTAAGAAATGTAAATAAAGTTAGAATAAAACTAAAAAAAACTAAAAGATAAAAAAAAACTAAACAAAAATAAAATCAAAAGTATAAAGAAATGAAAATAAAAAGAAAAGAATAAGAAAAACTAAGAATATAATAAAAACACAATAAAAAGACAATAAAATTACTATAAAAGATAATATAAGAGTATAGTATATACAGTATGATATAAAAAGTATATAGTGAAAATTCTTAAAGTATACACTTTTGAGACTAGGCTATAGCATATATTTAGAAAAAGTATATATTTATAAAATTAATATTTTTTTCTACTTTATTATCCCTTAAACTGTAGACAATTCTAGGCAAATTTGCCTGGAAAATTGCTAT